AATTACCCCGAGTTAGTAAATGCTTCATAAAATTCCAGGAAATTGGTTTCAGTGCATGAAATTTTGGGCAGTTGTTCCTTATTATATAAGTAAATGATTAGTTAAATAAGTCTTACCTCAGTGATGCATGTCTTTCTCGTGGAAGCAAGAGTTGGACATAACCTCAAAGAGCGGCAAAATCGTTGTTTACAAACTCACTGCACAGGATATCCTAAAAACATTAGACTGTCACCTTCTAACGACGGAATTAGGTACCCTACAGCTCCTAGATGGCGCTCCTTGCGTCAGTTCATTATTTCCGCCGTCTGACTGCAGCAGTGTTGCCAACAATTTTTTTTTTTCGCGATTTCTCAAATAACCCCTCAATTCTCAAATAGCCCCCGCTGACGGTAACACAGGTATGGACAAGTTGAGAATGGATGAATGTTTCTTAATTGACAATTTGAGAATTTAAGTTTTATGTTGACCAGTTTCTCGAAGGAAAAATACAATTCCTACGGAAGTCTGCAACGTCGCAAATGGAGAAACGTCGTCTCTCATTTTGCCCAAGAATATGTATGTATGAAATTTAAGGCATTATGACTTTCCTCTCTCAACTTATATTCGTCTGTAACGATGAGAAATGGGAGGCGTTTGCTACGGCGCCTTCATACAACTATACAACTTCGACGGATGTCCGTATTGCGTTCAAAAAATTGAAGGCGTTTTGACTCCCTGCACATACTACCTGTAGTTGATCCGATCGACAAACGCGTACGTCGGCGGTGACGCACAGTGGGGAAAACGACCAATCTAGCCGCTCAAAAGTCGTAATTTCAAGTGTTTGGTAGAAAGCTACCAGAGGCTGCATTTCATTCTCAGATATCCACTGACACCAAATCAGTGATTAAATGCACCAGAATCTTGTTTGTTATCAAAAAATTGATGATGAACCGTGAGCGTAAACAGGTAAGACTGGAAGCCCAGATGGAAGACGCACCAAATGCGTTCCGTACTGATGGTGTTCACGCAACAGGTTATGCAATTGATGGTTTTCCAGCATGGCAGAGCCCCTGAGAAGTAAATCAGATCATTTATTTTACTTCCTCATCATTTTTTCTTATATTTTCTATTTCTTTGACACCTGCTCTGAAAAATCTGTGTTTTTAAACTTCAGAGGATTGGAATGTATCGAATACCGGCGAATACCAATATCAGACTTGTACTAGGTGACGCAGAATTTCATGTAGTTTCATAATCTGTAGAGATATCTTGCGGTTTTTTGCGGTTCAGAGAGATAAACGAAGATTAATGGCCCGGCGTCGAGGCGTTTTTGATGCACTAGGCGCGGCGCACATTGGTTCTAGAGCCAGATCTAGGCGGCATTAATTAGAGTATCACCTTTGTTGGCATGCAATACATGTTTTTATATGTTTTTTGGGTCGCTGATCACGAATCTGAAGTCAGTTTTACTCCATCGTTAACTAAAACATGGTAAATTTGCGAAAAATAGCAAATTTACGCTCAAATACCGGAATAATTATTTGACAATTTGGCTTGGAGCTTGAGCTATAATACATGTGACTAATTTAATGATTAATCATCCAAAACGACCAACGATTTTACTATTCTTCATTTTTGGATGGTTATTTGAGAAGGGAGGGATGGGGGGTTGCCACGTTGAATAACTGAACGAAGTATACCTGCATGCAATTAACACGATCTGTTTTCGGAATCTACTTCCATAATTTTGAGGTATAAGAAATGGTAGGATGAAAATAAAGTAAAAAGCGTCCTAATAATACTATTGGACAGAGAGAAAAGGCATTGAACGTGTCGGACACTGGTCCGTTGTTTTTTTAAATTAAAGAGGTTGTAATGTATTTTTTTTTTTTTCTTTCTTTCTTTTTTTGAAGTACCTACGAATAATCAAGAAGAGCAAGAGTCAGTTTTCGTCCGAAATTCAAGAAATATATTCAAATTCAAAATTCATGTATATTAAAATGTACAACAACCAAATCTCATATAAATTTGATGAATAATTAACATCATGAACACATTTAGCAATCAAAATAAGAGTCACAAAAAATTACATTGAAAGAAAAATTTCACTGGCTACGAGAGGAGGTGAATATTCTTGCGGGTAATTATCACATTTTATAGATTCAGACAATGGTATGCCAAAAAAAGTAGGTAAAAGTCGCAGCTTTTGTGATTTAGTCGCAGCTTTGTTGCATTTATATTTTTTTCTTTTATTCCTTTTCATTGTTATAATTATTGTTTAAGTTATTCTTAAATTATTCTTATTTGTTGTTTATAAAATTATTTAGTTATAATGCTATAATTTCTATCTTTTCTTTCTTTTTTCTCCATTAATTTTTCGATTCTCCTTTATTTCTTTTTTCCTCTTCTTTTCTCATGCTGTTTCAGTGTTTGATTTCATTGTCTTTTCACAATTCAAAAAGTATCTTAGTATTAAAAAAACGCCTGTATCGATGAAAATAAATGTTATTGTCTTGTAAACTGAATAGTTCTACTAATTTTTAATTTCACATTTTTACTGTACGTAACATTCAATTTTTCAGTGTACAATGCCATTAAGTGATGTTATAATTGATTAGATTGTTTTGAAAGAAGTGTAACGCAACGCAGAAAATCAGATAATTAAGAAAATTCACGTAAAGTGAACCAAAAGTAGGTGTAAAAAGATGGTCCACCAAGCTCTTTGGATTGGGCCATTGTGCGGCGAAAATATAACCCAAGGGGGGTTGACAAAATATTTTCTTGCCTCAATTTGGGTCCCCCTATCCTTTGGCTACATTTTTAACCCAAGAAACACGAATAAAAATCAAGAGCGTTGACACAGGGACTTTTGAGCGGCTAGATTGGCGTTTTTCCCCACTGTGTGACGGGGTCTTGATGCATTTTTTTAAACTTGATGGATGTCCGTATCGCACCGACTGAAGTGCGAAACCACGTTTTTGCATTGCGGTGTTTCAAAATTTCCGTTCTTATTTCATCTCTTCCATGAGAAACAATCCAAATTTACGACTTAAAATTTTGAACCAAATCTTCTGCTATCGAATACGAAAAATCATGGAGAATTTAAGTTTTATGTTGACCAGTTTCTCGAAGGAAAAATACAATTTCTAAGGAAGTCTGCAACGTCGCAAATGAAGAAACGGCGTCTCTCATTTTGCCCAAGAATATGTATGTATGAAATTTAAGGCATTATGACTTTCCTCTCTCAACTTGATGGATGTCCGTTTCGCACCGACTGAAGTGCGAAACCTCGTATCGCCAGGACCCAGAGTTTCAATCCCATTCCACCGTAAACGTCCGTAATACCAAATTTCCGCCATTTTCCAGATGAATAAGGATTGATAAGCATAATACTGCATTTAAGCCGTCTAATCTAAGTTTATCCTAATTCGTTTTCCAAGAACGTTTTCAAAAAATAGCATTTCATCAAACTAGAAAAGATTAAATTAACGTCATTTCATTTCGCCTTCAATTTCAGTGTAGGCAACAGGAGCTTCCGCGTGGTCGAATAGTGCTATCGTCGTGAAATGGCACGCTCACCCAGGCAAAACAAGCGCCCATGTGGTCGAATAGTGGTACATCATCCCCGAAACAATATCGGCTTAATGCTCCCCGTTATTAAATTAATAATTTTTTATGAAGCATCTAGACCCGTGACTTCAGTCACGGGCTTTCCGGTAGTTTATAAATAAAAAAACTGGGTACTTATACAAAGAAATCACCTAAAATTTTTAATAACGTTTAGTGAGATAAAATATCCTCTGCATTGTTTTTGTGTACCTATCTGCTTTCAAAGCTGAACCAAGCGCAAAAGATTTCCATCGCAGTATAAAAGGATTCAACTTATTTGGTGCAGACTCAGTGGGGAATCTTGACATGATTGTGGAAGGAATGTAAATTTTAAGAACAGATTAAATTGTGAGAAAAAAACTGCCTATATTTTCAAATTACAAAGTCACCTTTCTTGCAATTTCAAATGGTCGAAAGTATTTCATTAATTATCTCAAAATAATTATAGAAAAACTAATCTTGTTTTTTCTGCGACTTAATTTGTAATCAACATAAAACTACCGTAAATTTTATAATGATAAAATCAATCATTTGAAAGTTAAAAAATTCTCATACGTACATTTTAAAATGATGAATAAGGAAGGAAATGATACCTGATTGAATTTTTAAACAGTCACGTAATATTCCATTTTTATATGTTTTGAGCTGCATAAGATTTAGGATTCGTGAGCACTAGCAGTTTTTCATTTTTTATAAGCATAGGTATGTAATATTTACGCCTCTTGGCTTTCTTTTTCACAGTAGGTATTGTAGAAGAAAATCTCTGGGCCATTACCTACAGTTCGTTTTTTAAATAGATCCTCAGACAAGGTGAGATCATCTCAACATATATAATTCCTCCTTAAGGTGATTCATCAAGCTCAAGTGACATGGTCGAACTGGCATGTGATATATCGCTTCGATTAGGTCAAAAATCTCGGCAGATTTTGAATTTTTAGCAACAAAAAAAAGGACGATAGTCCCTGCGCATGAGCAAAGAATCATTTTAAACCCGAAAATTGGTAAAATTCAGAGATATGAAAGCAGAATAGTGTTTGGAAAAAACCTCGCATTCGATACAAAAATCGATAGCTGAATCGAATGCGAGGTTTTTTCCCAAACACTATTCTGCTGTCATTTCTCTGAATTTTGCCAATTTTTTGGTCTAGAATGATTCTTTAGGCTCATGCGCAGGGGCTATCGTCCTTTTTTTGCTGAAAATTTAAAATCTGCCGAGATTTTTTGTCTATAATCGATGCTATATTTCGCATGCCAGTTCGACCACGTCACTTGAGCTTGACTAATCACCCTAAAATTTTATGCAGCACACGGTGTGATCTTTAAAATATACCTAATTCAACTCACAAGTGAAGAAAGCACGACACACGTGGAAGGGAGAGTCCCCTCTCCCCTACCTATTCCACAGGGCTGGGAACCCGATCGGAACCCGGAACCCGGAACCCTCAGAACCCGCATGTTTATGCGGAACCGGAACCGGAACCCGAACCCGAAACTTCGGACCTTCAGAACCGGAACCGGAACCGGAACCGCCGGGGCACAATCCGAGAACAGGGTTCCTACACGGGTTCCGTATCGGTTCCGTGACAGCTGATGTTGCAGCAACGCCGGGTTTGAGACGGCCCCGTATCCAAGGAAATTGTAACAAATTTTTTATCGGTGAAAAATCAATTTAATTGAGCGAACTCATTTTAAGTGAAGTGGAATTTTAAAAAGTAAAATGGGAAGTATTAGAATTTTTTTTGACTACATCAAGGAAGAAAATAAATCAGTTTGTAGACGTTGCAAAGAAAAAATAGGAGGGAATCATGTAACAAACTTAAAAAAGCATGTCCGAACGCAGCACAAGGAGGAATACGAAGAGTGGTTAAACAAACAAAAGACCGAAGAAGAAGATAACCTCAAAAACAAAAAACGGAATCGAGAAGACGAAGATGCTGCAGCAGGAAGTTCAGCAAAAAAGTTGAAGCAAGGCGACATAAGATCGGCTCTCTTTAACGAAGTGACGGTGAAGATTAACCTGGAGACTATCGAAAATGCCTGCATAAACCTAATTATAAATGGACGTCCTTTGGTTTTGATGGACGATGCAGCATTCCATAGTATCATAGATCCTATATTAGAGGGATTGAAGACAACAGCCAAAATCAATCGGCAAAACATAAGAATGAAAGTGATTGAGAAAGCAGATGCACAGAGAAAGAAAATCAGCGGAGAATTGCGCGGGAAAATGTTTTCATTAAAACTTATGAAAGTGATTGAGAAAGCAGATGCACAGAGAAAGAAAATCAGCGGAGAATTGCGCGGGAAAATGTTTTCATTAAAACTTGACATATGCACAAAAAGAGGTAGGAGCGTCCTCTAAGTAAGTCCTCCTAAGTAATATCATTTTCAATTGCTTGATTCAAATTATTGTTTCTAAATTAATCATTTTTGATTGCTTCATTAAAATTGCCCAGTTTTGAACTCTCTCTCATTTTGAGTAATTTACTTTAAAATTAAATTATTTTCGCGAATACTAATACCATGGAACCCGAGTGGAACCGGGACCCGAATCTTCGGACCCCCGGAACCGGAACCCGAATCATTGGACCATGAGAACCGGAACCGGTTCCAAAATCCATTCGGGTTCCCAGCCCTGCCTTGGCCGGCCGTAAAACACTGGTGTAAAAATTACGGCTCAAACGACTGAAAGCTGCCACTATCGCCACATTAATTACTCGAGTTTACCGATTCCGCCACAGTAATCACCTTTGAAATGACTCCAGCCATTGAACTAAGCTTTGATAACACGGTCCTAAATGCAGGGCATAACATGACCGTGCATTCAACAGGGATATTATAGTTCCACGTACACAGACGATGAAATCAATGATTTCGAACAACACGGAACCGGGGTACCCAGCCGGATCTGAAGCCACATAAGAAGTATATCTAGAAGTTCGAAGTCCGTACGATCGTGATTACTTTTCAACCCCATTTACGCAGATAAAATTAAGTTGGATGAGGCGAAGCTATGTAACTTGCCAATTTGGAAGCATTTCGACGACTGGGTTTTGCCGTGACCGGACTCGTTTTGATATCGTATTTTCAGTAGAGGCTGCGCAACGCGCTTAGTAGATTCTCGGAGTCTCCCTTCATCAGTGGCAAGGCGTGAATGATCGATTATCGATATTTCCTCATCTGGAACTATGGTAAAGAATCGATCAGTAAGGTGTTCGCTGCGAACACCCTGTTAATCGATCATTTACCATAGGTTTAAATGGCAGATCAATCGATATATCGCAAAGCACGCCACGCCACTGCCCTTCATGTGTTCGCCGAAGCAAACTTTTGGGTCGACATAGACACAAAACAAAGGTCAGATAGTCGAACTCATATCACAGATCAACATAATGCTGAAACACGTAATGCTAAAACATAGTTACTGGCACGGAGTTCTGCACAGAGAAGATGAATTCACGAAGGAAGATTCTGGAAGATGATAGCACACAGCACAGCACAGGAACTTGCAACCACAACAAGTAGGAACTCAAACAGGAAATTGGAATACGGGATACTCGAACTTGTAACTGGAAAGTAACTATCTTCTAAGCTTTTCCTAAAATGACTTCTGTCGGGAATCTAGATTCATTCTTCCTACACTTTGGATTTGAAAATAATCTCCCTGGTGCGGAGAATCGCATCGCGGGGATCGATAGAAAGACTCGCGCAGTGGCGTGGCGTGCTTTGCGATATATCGATTGAAATGCCATTTAAACCCATGGAAAAAGATCGATTAACAAGGTGTTCGCAGCGAACACCTTAATAATCGATTCTTTACCATGGGTTTAAATGGCATAACAATCGATACATCGCTATTCACGCTACGCCACCGAACTCGCGCGAGGGTCCACAAATCGGGCTAATTGAATTGATAATCTCTCCTGAACTTGCATTATGTCGCAGCTCTCGTCAGACGTTTTTCACGGACCTGAACTATATTTTAATTCTCATAGTATATGGTGGAAACCTCAAATATCTCCCCAGGGAGTAATCCTGTGCTTACGAATAAAGCCCCCGCCCCCTCAGCCACTACTAAACGATCAGCTCCAGGCAATTGTCGTTTATGACCATAACATTCGGATCATATGGCTAGGAATCAAACTCGGCATTTCCTGATTCTGAAACCAGGGCTGCAAGCGCTACACCACAGGAGGCCAACAATATTGAAAAATGTGGGATTTCTAACTCATGGCAGCTCCCAATGTATCAATCATACAAGATAAATGTCTATTTATTTATCACTTACCGTACAAAAGAGAGATACCAACATTTTCAAAATAATACAATAACAAATAAGTAAAAAAAAAAAAAACTTGCAAGTTAACAGATCTCCAGTTACACTGAGGACTTAATGTAGGTAGAACCCCCCCCCCCCCCCAAAAAAAAAAAACCCCAAAAAAACAGAAAAGTAAAAATTAATAAGACTTTAAAATAAAATAACATGGAATCCAGTAAGTGGACGCACTTATGCTGAAAAGAACTATGTGCATATATGGCTTGTGTGCAACAATGTTTCTTCTCAGCATAAATTCGTCCAAATCATGCATTCGCTTTATAACATTAAAGTCAATGCTAAAAATTAAAATCGAGAAGGAAAAAAAACCTAGCTGAAACTTAGAATCGAAATAAAATGACAAAATAAAATTCTTTGTTATCACAGTCTTGTGTATATATCACACTATAAATCTTAAAACATTCAGTACAGCATTCCACTAGGGAACCTCTAATTAAAATGGGGGAAAAATATTGTAACTAAAAAAGGAACATATAAGTATTCTTCTTTAAAACGAAAGTATTAAAATGTTGCAAAAAGGAACTCGTTTAAGAAAAACGGAATGCCAAGATTACACTCCATGTAAAGTTTGTATTTGATTTCAATCTGACCGTTCACTGAAGCTTATGGGATCAAAATATGCAAAATCCATTCTTACTTTTCGCACAAGTTCTTTCAGATCAATCTACTGAAGGAAAAGCAATAAATGTGTTCAATGAGGTATTCTTTTAATATTTTTTACAGGCTCAAAGGGAAAATGTAACCAGTGGAATTTTTTTAGTTTGGTGTATATTGATATTTAATTATCGAAAATATAATTGGGACTAACATTGCGTAATGGATCATAAAGCTTTTTATTGAAGAATGTCCATTATTTTCTGCATTTAACTGTTGACATGTACCTTAACTTACACATTTTTATTGCATTTTATATCCTAGAAGCTAAAAACAAACTAAAGACCACAGAAAACAAACACTATGTATAGTTGACCCGCATATATAGAGAGGAAAAACCATGAAAATGGTCTCCTCGGCTTTGGCAGGGAATCAAATGGTCTATTCAAAGTTACAATAAAAAATTGATGGGACGAAAGGTCTATTATTGCCAGGCTGTTACTGACGGAAGTCTGACACATATTAATTGCACTGTGCTCCGCCACGCAGCCTCGCTGGTAGCTGCCACTTGCAAAAAATTTCAGCGCGGCAAGGACCTAAAATCACACATTACAGTTCTTTTAGTTTTTCATTTTTTCACAAAATTATTTACCACCATCGCACATGCAAACTTATTTTACTTTGGGGGACCTTCCTCCATAATTGGAATAGCTATACGCTTTTGGTAGTTCTCATGGATTCCACAGAATTCAAGTTTCCTAAAAATATTTTATCATGATTTTCAACATGAAGTTCTATATGTCTGGCTGTAGTAAGTGTCTTTGCAATTTCCTCCAAAAAAAATCCAGATTTATTGTTTATTGAAAGCTTGCGTTTGTCAAGTGTACAAGACAAGATAAAGGTGAAAAGGACTTGTGTGATAAGTTGACTTTAACAGTTGTCAATCTTGCTTATGTTGGGCTAGTACATGCTACAAGCTATCGGTATCTCAAGATATACAGCTTGTCATCAGTTCCACGTTACGTAGGCACAAGGAAGAACACGACTAACAAAACTAACCTACATTATAAGTCCATTTCACTGACGTAAGTCTTGCCTTGGCCAGTCAAGGAAACACACAATTTCATCTATGTTCCGCTGTTCTAATGTGCTGAGGTAACACTCACTGCAGATGCTGGAAAGGAGAATCTTAATTTGATGAGATTAGTGGATGAATATGAGCTGCACCTACCATTTACGCTTCAAACTACTTTAAACATCCTAGTGTCTTTGATATTGAGAGAAAAAAAAAAACTAAAAAACTTTTCGACAGGTTGAAAAAAATATCAACTTACATGCTGCGGCATTGAGGAAGTAATTTGTCAGGATTAGATAATCATGTTGAGAATCCTTACCCTGTGGGTTGGAGTCAGCGACGACCTCCGTGTTGTCGGGAAGTGAGGCGCGAGCCTCTGGATCAGGGCTCGTGCCACATTCTTTGAGACGCGGAAATTTTGCTGAAACTGCCGCTTCGGGGCCATGAACGGGTCGCAGGAATCCCTTAGCCGCTTCCTCTCCACCCGCCAGTTCTGCACGGCATCCTCTTTCTCCATCAAATCATGAAGATTTTGGAGGTGGGCAAGGACCGGCAGCATCTCCAATGCCCAAGCCATCTGCGACAAGTAACAGTTATGAAATACTATCATGATGCATAAAAACCGCGAGAGAGCACTCTCTATCACTCTTGGGAAGCTCTACCATCAGCTTCATACCAGCAGCAAAAGGAGAATACCTTGACGCCTGGTCAGAGAGCGCTTGGTACCAGGGCTGGGAACCCGATCGGAACCCGGAACCCTCAGAACCCGCATGTTTATGCGGAACCGGAACCGGAACCCGAACCCGAAACTTCGGACCTTCAGAACCGGAACCGGAACCGGAACCGCCGGGGCACAATCCGAGAACAGGGTTCCTACACGGGTTCCGTATCGGTTCCGTGACAGCTGATGTTGCAGCAACGCCGGGTTTGAGACGGCCCCGTATCCAAGGAAATTGTAACAAATTTTTTATCGGTGAAAAATCAATTTAATTGAGCGAACTCATTTTAAGTGAAGTGGAATTTTAAAAAGTAAAATGGGAAGTATTAGAATTTTTTTTGACTACATCAAGGAAGAAAATAAATCAGTTTGTAGACGTTGCAAAGAAAAAATAGGAGGGAATCATGTAACAAACTTAAAAAAGCATGTCCGAACGCAGCACAAGGAGGAATACGAAGAGTGGTTAAACAAACAAAAGACCGAAGAAGAAGATAACCTCAAAAACAAAAAACGGAATCGAGAAGACGAAGATGCTGCAGCAGGAAGTTCAGCAAAAAAGTTGAAGCAAGGCGACATAAGATCGGCTCTCTTTAACGAAGTGACGGTGAAGATTAACCTGGAGACTATCGAAAATGCCTGCATAAACCTAATTATAAATGGACGTCCTTTGGTTTTGATGGACGATGCAGCATTCCATAGTATCATAGATCCTATATTAGAGGGATTGAAGACAACAGCCAAAATCAATCGGCAAAACATAAGAATGAAAGTGATTGAGAAAGCAGATGCACAGAGAAAGAAAATCAGCGGAGAATTGCGCGGGAAAATGTTTTCATTAAAACTTATGAAAGTGATTGAGAAAGCAGATGCACAGAGAAAGAAAATCAGCGGAGAATTGCGCGGGAAAATGTTTTCATTAAAACTTGACATATGCACAAAAAGAGGTAGGAGCGTCCTCTAAGTAAGTCCTCCTAAGTAATATCATTTTCAATTGCTTGATTCAAATTATTGTTTCTAAATTAATCATTTTTGATTGCTTCATTAAAATTGCCCAGTTTTGAACTCTCTCTCATTTTGAGTAATTTACTTTAAAATTAAATTATTTTCGCGAATACTAATACCATGGAACCCGAGTGGAACCGGGACCCGAATCTTCGGACCCCCGGAACCGGGACCCGAATCTTCGGACCCCCGGAACCGGAACCGGAACCGGAACCCGAATCATTGGACCATGAGAACCGGAACCGGAACCGGTTCCAAAATCCATTCGGGTTCCCAGCCCTGCTATTCCATCATTGAAACCTCGATCTGGCTTGCCAAAAAACCAAAATCTACCCGAGGCACATCGGACAGTCCCTAGACAACATTCTCTGTTCGAATGTGAGTGTGTGAGTGCGCGCGCCAGGTTTCCTAGCTTCGACGAGCCGCGGAACTCCGCATCTGATCACGATAAAACAGCGTATCGACCTATCCAAGTTTAGCCTTACTCCCCGTTCACGGCCGTTTTTTCTGGGGCACTGTGTTTGACGCAATGCGTGAGGTATTCATGCAGTCTTGTAGGCGCTATGCGTTTCCCGCCGACCGCTGCTGACCGCACTGTGTTTGACGCAATGTGTGAGGTATTCATGCAGTCTTGTAGGCGCTATGCGTTTCCCGCCGACCGCTGCTGACCGCACTGTGTTTGACGCAATGCGTGAGGTATTCATGCAGTCTTGTAGGCGCTATGCGTTTCCCGCCGACCGCTACTGACCGCACTGTGTTTGACGCGATACGTGAAGTATTCACACAGTCTTGTAGGCGCTAATGTGTGTTACACGCCGACCGCCGTGCCCCGCCGAGGGCTTTTCCTTTTCATCTCAAGTCCTAGTCATCATTGTTCTCTGCGCCGCGCCGATCCAGGCCAAATTGGGTGTTTGGTTTCTCTCTTAACGCAACTACTTAAAGGTGCTGCCTCTTGTATCACCGAAAGACGACAAAATTAGAAATTATTATAGGTACCTACTCTCAAAAGGAAATGAGAGATTTTGTCGCCTTTTCTCGTTTGTAATTTTTTTTTCTGAATCCGATTTTTTGTATACCTACGTTTAAAAAAATTTCAAAATTTGCCGCCCCCCTACCTATTCCTTTCCATCTCAAGTCCTTGTCATCATTGCTCTCTGCGCCGCGCCGTTCCAGGCCAAATTGGGTGCTTGGTTTCTCTCTTAACTCGACTAATTAAAGGTGCTGCCTCCTGTATCACCAAAAGACGACAAAATTAGAAATTACTATACTCTCACAAGGCAATGAGAGATTTGTCGCTTTTACTCGTTTTTTTTCTGAATCCGATTTTTTCATACCTACATTAAAAAAAAAATCAAAATTTGCCGCCATGGGTCGCGGCCTATGTGGCCATCCCCTAAATTCGGCCCTGAAAACGACGTAAGCATTATCCGAAAATTGCGTTTGAGAAGTCTAATGATACTGTCGTTTCGCGGTTTCACCATGCGTGTAAGTAGAGACCGGGGCCTAGTCCTGAGAAAAATTATCGACCAACTCGGTAGAGACCAGATAGATTGCGCTGGAGATTTCCGAAAACCCGATATATTGGCCGGGCGGCCGACAAGTAAATTAATTTCGGAGGAGTAATATTAGGAGCGGTGCGGAACTCCTCTGAGATCAGTGGGATTACTTCCGAGAGCGTTCGTTGACCACCGACGCACAAGAACCCTCCAACTCTGCCGTGCTGAGGAAAAACGCTGTATGAACATTCCAGAGTTGCCAAATTTCACCGGATAAAATATGTATTTTTGAGGGATGGTATGTATATTTCCTTGAACTTTTCAGATAATTTAGATTAAACGGAGAATTTGCATGCAAATTTTTTATTACTTCATCTGAAAGTGCCTAAAGAGCTGATTTCACATTATTTTTTAGAATTTTTTTCTGACATAGGAAATAATATAAAAATAGATTTAAAAGTGAGAAAGTGCACTGCCTAGTGACGTCATCTGGCGGCATTTTCCATTTAAAATACATGTATTTTAGCAGATTAGATCATTTTGCCATATCTTCTCCAATAATTGGACCGCGTGGAACAGAAAGGAACCGAGAACCAAAATTTAATCGGGCAATTTAATTTTTTATATGAAAACGGTTGTGCGGATTTTTGTGCAAATTTCTATGAATTTTCTCCATAATACAAAGCAAATTCCTTAACATTTTCAAAGGAGTCCTTACAAACGTTCTCTCGTAAAAAATCAAATTCCCCTGTTAAATTTGGCAATAGCTGATGTGGCTTGGTTCCTTTTCTGTTTAACGCGGTTCAAATATTCAATTCATAAACCAAGGGTATCCTCGCGCTCAGTTCTTTCAGTAGTTTCCACCGAAACCCGAAATTCATCAAATTTCAGACACCAGCAAATTCTCTATCGCGTACAAAATTGTCCGAAAATTTGGAGGAAAAATACTCACATACTCTCTTAAAAATTCGTATTTCATCCAAAGAAATTTGGCAACGCTTGAAGGTTTATACTGCGTTTTTCCTTAGCACGGCAGAACCGAGGTGGATGGGTGCAGCCGCTTCCTCCATCCTATGATTAAATTGAGAACCTGGAACCTAGGCGTCTTCCCGGTTTCCATCAACTTCTTGGCTATCCAATACATCGCCCTGAATCGAATTACTTACCTCGAGATTCGGCGGATCGCGCATGTTTGATGTCGAATAAAAGCCTGAGGACGTCACCTCAGCCCTCCATGTACGTCGGTGTGGTCGGAAAAGTGTGACGCATTGTCTTCAGAGGTGACCGGTCGTTATTTTCAGGTTTGTAGGAAGTTCATTTTCATTCGGGGGCTCGGAGGACAGGGCGCATAAGTGCAGTTTTTGCTATTTCCAGATCCTATAGCACAGTGCAACAAAAATACTGAAATTAAATTGCAATTCGATTCCAATAAAATTGTAATTTTTTTACCATTAAATTGCAATATTTTTACATTATTTAGTCGCTTTATGCCAATTTTAAACAATCAAAAAAATGAGCTCCGTGTTTCAGAAAGATAGGCAATAAGCAATGCAATGAAAAATTATAACTTATTAAAATTGTATTGAAATAAGTTTCAATTAATAGGGCCCCTTCAAAAAGGAGGTAGGCAAAATACACAGCACTCAGTGAAGTTGCAATAATTTTACTATGTAATTGCTACTTATTGCAATCTATGCTACTTGGGATATACGTGTTTGAAGATTCGAAATTTCATGGATCCTTACTTGTGGCCGAAAGAAAGTTCAAACTGACTTTTTGATGCCTAAAAATTGGAAATCGGGAGCAAATTTTTCACAGAATACCTATGCATTAAGGATAGTTTTACTTGGAATTGTAAATACCTCAATTTTTTCAATAACTGCACTTATTCGCCTTGTCCTCTCAGCCCCTCATTTCCAAATGCATTTCAAAATGTGAAATGGAGTCAGGTAAAACGACCATTGAACCCTCTATGAGATTGAATTAATTTTGGATCTTGGTATAGACACTAATCTATACTGTAGCTCTCGTAAAAACATAGAGCCCGAGATTTTATTCTCAAAATTTTGATACACACTTTTCAACAAAAAAAATCCTGATAAAAATTTGCAACATAATGCCACAGGAGAATAATTCAACTTTTAAAAAAATCGAAAAATGCATTGTTACGAACAAGTACCTAACACCATACTTTTGAGGACTAAGGTGGGAGAAAAATTATAAAATCTGAGATATAACTGTACCTAAGCGAGGAGGATTTAGTTGTGTGCCATTTGTTGTTAAGAACATCAAATTATCGATACATTTAAAAGTTAGAGAAAATCGTGAAATTGAGAAAATCGCAATTAAAGTTTGCCTGCGCTATTACCACTATTGGAAGAATGTTACTTATTTTTAAAATCCTCATTAGTGAAGATAATGGTTTAAAATTTTGACCCGATAGGTATGTTTTTGAAAACTACTAGAAAAAACAGGGGCGCCGACAAAACATCGTTGACGAAATGTTCTTTAACCCTATTTCGAGCTGTGTTTTCTTAGCAAAATTACGAGTGGAAATTTTCGAAAATCGTGAGCAAAAGCCGTGGTTTGTATTGACGGATCAAGCAAGTTGGCAACATTGTTTTCTCCTTATTTCAATGTCTAGGTTTGCTTGTTTTTTTTTTTTTTAGTTTTTTTTTAGTTTTTTTTGGCCCAATGGAGAAAAATATGTAATTGAGATTTTTGGTAAAAACGAGGGAGCGTCAATTCCATGAGAGAAAATTCACTAAAACTCTCTAAACCTCTTTGGTGCAACTGCACTTAATTATCTTTCAAGAAAATTCCATCTTGTTATACCTGCACGGGACAAACCTCTTGATACTTTTAAAGGATGCTTGTCGCATTTTTAATACGTATATTGGAGCGCCTTAAATTTTGTATGGTGTGAAACACCTCTGTTGTGAAATAGTTGCTTGAGGCGCCGTGGCACGCACACACGCTGCGGCGCGGCGCGGCGCGGCGAGCAGTCTGTCAGCGGGCAGCGCGCATTGGCGCCTACAAACCTAACAGGGATACTTCACGCATTGCGCAATGCGTGAAGTATCCCTGTTAGGTTTGTAGGCGCGAGTGCGCGAATCGTGCTGGCAGCGCGCCGCGCCGCTCCGGTTTGTGTTAGGCTCTAATATTTCAACTCGCGGAGTCAGCGTTTTTCAATTCATGATTTTGAAATTTTTGCACATTTTACATGGATTATTCGCAAAAAAATATATGTATTAAAGGAAAATATAATGTGTGTTTCGTAAATATTAAGGTGGATCCGTGTAACATTTAATAATTTCCAAAGCCTCTACAATTATTATTTTTTATTTTGTGCTTTTACTGTGCTGCAACGTGGTCGTGGAATGTCCTGAAACCCAATTTTGCGCAAATATTTCCGACGAATAGTAGGTATATTGTTGAAAGAATGAAAATAGCAACGAAAAAAAATATTAAATGAACTCTTGTGCGAAAGTGATGAGCGGAACTTCAGATAATTGAAATGAATTAGGAGATTTGCGACGTCGCTAACCGGATTAGGTGTTTTGGTGCTTTCATCATCGAATTACAGCAGAACATCATTATGGACAGTGAGTCCCCGATTTGTGACTTGAAAAAAGTCGAATTTTCTCTTACTTACCCATTGATACAGCTTTGAATGTGCACAACATGGGTTGGGTCAGGCTCTCTATATCCAATTTAGACGGAACTTTTACTTAAAAGCATTATTATATCTCAAGCATATGACATACGTGTCAAAAATTTTCCAGCAGCGAAATAAAATAGAGAAAAAAGAGGTGTTTGCATCTTGAGGATCGTTTACCCCGTGGCGTAGGTCGGTACATCATGGTGTCAATATTCCAGCAAAATCCGGAATTCGAAGTATAAAAAACGGACCTTAACGTCCGATTTTTTGCTAAAATCAACTCATGATATAATTTCCAACACTTTCTATAGAATCACTGTTTTTTATAAACTACACCACTTCCAAGAATAAATCGATGATAAAAATCGTTCGTACCAGCCTACGTCATAAAAAAAAATTGGCCTCCGGCCAATTTATGCGCGGCGCAAGCGCCGCGTACCGGCGCTTCGCGCCGGCATGTGGGGGGGCTTCGCCCCCCATCATGGTGCGAAGATCGCACAAGACTTTCTCGCTTTTGCCGGCGCTCCGCGCCGGCATAGACACTTTTACTGCAATATTTAGAAAAATACTGCCAATTTCACAAAATCATAAAGTTTGATTGGAATTTTGATCGCAGGATAATAGTTATTAAATTTTTATTCAAACCACTGCACTATATTGTAAATGTCTTCGAGATATAGGATGAATTCATACATTCGGACTCGACTTGTCGATATTATGAGGCATCTTCAATTAAATATGTAATTGATTAATGATGCCTCCTATTAAAGACGGCGATCCGTAAAAATCTTAGCTTTTCTACGATTCATTAGGATCCATTAGATTCATTGGCATCATACTTCAGATACGATTATATGTTATAATCTTTCCTTAAGCACGGTCAAAAGCCATCAAAAATCTACTTCAATGGGTAGATTGACTATTCGATGTTTAAATAGTCTTAAAACTAAACGGTTTTCGCTTAGCATCGTCCAAATTTTAAATTTGGCGGGCGAATCTACCTGCTGGTAATGGTTCACCACCCGCCCGCCAAGAGCGCCAGTTCCTTAGCGCGTATC